GAATTTGCTCCTCCTGGAGAGATGTTTCCCATAAGAAGGTCTGCTTACAGTTATTTTCATGTGAGCATAAACATCTTCCAACCACAGGGTTTTATACAGATCTCAAACAAAGTAGGGCTCTGCTGTTCAAGCCAGGGTCTGTCATCACAAAAGTCCTGCAGAGCTATTGCTGATTTTCAACAGCAATGGGGTCGCTCAGATTCATACCCTTTTATTGACCCATTGATATAGGGGTTAGTAGTCCCTTCGAGTAAATTGGTGAGGGAGCCCGGGTGATGTAGTGTGTTCTGTGCTGGGCTGCTAACCAAAAGGTTGGCACTTTGAAACCACCAGCTAATCTGATGGAGGAAGATGAGGCTTTCTGCTTCCACCAAGATCTGTAGTCTCAAAAACCCACAAGAGCAATGCTACTCTGTTCTAGAGGGTTAGAAGGAGTCAGAACTGACCATTGGGCATTGAGTTTGACCTTTTTTTTTTTTGGTGAACTGGGAATATATAATAATATATAAAGTCCTGAACACTTAATTGAGTATGGTGTAGCTCCTGGTAATTACAAAAAAAAAAAAAAGAATTTCCGAGGTTTGATACTACTGGACCGAGATCTTATAACCTCACACTTCCGAGATGGGGTATGTTTGATGAGAAGATATAACCAAATTCAGGCTCATCCTTTTTCCTCTCCCACTTTTTTTTAAACATTCCTTTGCTGCTTCTTTATGATTCCTTTGGCTCCTGTCTTAAATCTAATTTTAAATTTCAAGAAGGACTTGGATTGAAAGTGGTTTTGTGATTTTCCCATATTTTGGCCTGGATGGTGATAGTATTAACTCAGGCATTTATGGAAACACTATCATTAAAAGTGTCTCATGGTCTCTGGAGACAGAATTTGGAATCATGACACAGGCCTTTCTGATTAGGGGTATGAGAACGCCCACTCATTCGCTGTGGTTCACAGTGGGTTTGTTTTGCTTGGGGTTTGCAATAACTCCCAGCTAAAGATTCCATTTTAGAACTATTTAAGGAAATTCAAAGCCAAGTTTGTAAGGAACTGGAGGAGACTCCAAAAGAGTACCACAGCAAGTATAGTTGTGCCACTTCCCTGGACCAGTATGTAATACAGCACATGTTTTTCTTATTCTTCTACCCTTTACTTTGATTTGACTTCCTACCTCCCCTTTCCTCCCTCTTTCCCTTCAATGAGCCAGTTGTAATCAAGTTCATGCTGATTCATCAAGACCTCATAGGTGTCAGAATGGAATTCTGCTGCAAATGGCTTTCAATGACTGATGTTTGGGGAATAGATCTCCAGGGCTTTCTTCCAAGGCACCTTTAGGTGGACTTGGACCTCCAGCTTCTGTGTTAGCAGCTGAGTGTGTTAACTATTTGCACCACCCAGAGACTCCTTACCCTCAATGGGCTTGGCTATGCAGCTGGGTTCTAGTTTCTTGTTTTAGATTCCTTCCCTGATCTTTATGGCCCCGAGTCTGTTCTCCTATGCCCTTAATTTCTCTGAGGTTTTCATTGTTTGATCTTATTCCAGGTTTCTCTGCCATCTTGCTCCACCTCACAGCCCTTTCTCTTGCATCCTCAACCCTGTGGATATTATCCCCCGACCCAGCACCTTGAACTTGATTCAATGCTGGCTATCTCTTTCCCTGGAACTATCAGAATCACGGTTTCCGTCTAACAATCATCACAGAAGAGCATCCTGAGAGCATCACAGAAACAGCAGTTTTGTTTTAAGAGAGATGACTAAACCTTTCCCATCACCCCTAGAAAAATGGGTAGATACCAGAGGCAGATGGGAGAACAAGTTATTAACTTCACTATTGATAAAGAAAGCTCTGCTCGTGCAATCATGAAACACTGACTGCTAACCGAAAACTCAACAGTTTAAACCTACCAGCTGCTCCGAGGGAGAAAAGACCAGTGATTGGCTTTGACTGAAATAAATAGCCTAGAAAACCCTACGTGGCAGTTCTGTTCTGTCCTATAGAGTCATCATGGATTCAACTACATCATGGATTCAAACAACAACAATATTGTTGCAGACCCCAGTTTACTAACTCTATGACCATAGCCACGCTTCCCCATTAAACTATTTCCTCATTCTTTGGGCAGAGCACCTGGCAACAAATATGAACCTGACCCAGGCACCTCACAACTTGGCAGAGGGAAGAATGCTCCTCGGCTGAAAACTTTCATTTTTCACCTTCAGAATTTGGAAGTGCTGCCCTCACAGTATTCCCTCCTGGGGATATGATGGCTAATGCAAATACACAGTAATGCCGATCCTCAATCTCTTATTTTATCCATTAGATCAAATCGCATGTTTGAATTAATTTAAATAATATATTCCTTTATCTGATGCCTCAATATAGTTTGATAACACTTTGATTGAACACTTGGCAAATTTGTAAGCACCAAGGGCACAGAAAATGCATTGGACATGGGCACAGACTTTGATCTTCATGGGACAGGTGCATGAAAATTAATTATACATAATTATATGCACAAGTTTTATTACATAAAAGCCTACTATGAAAACTCCTGTGTGGGAGTACCATCTTTGTTTGAAAGTGCTTTTATAACACCCGGTTAGGCAGAATATGTGGGTTTTGCAATGTCTGAAACAAATAATCTTGAGATTAGGGTTGGGGGAAAAGCAAAGAATACATAATTACGAATTTAAAATGAGGTTCCACGGGGACTATTTAGAATAAGAACGGAAACCACAAAGAAGAAGAAGATGAAGCAGAAGCTGAAGAAGAAGAAGAAGACTGGGGCCTGAGAGACGCAGGTCCCTTGATTCTGCAATCTCGTGAGGCTTTTTCTCATAAATATGTTATGTTTGCTATCTGACTGCCAGTCCCAGAAACTCTCAGAACTCACAAGAGCTGTGTAAAATAAGCCTGAAGCTTAAGCTTTGTGGTATGATGGATCACGTTGATATGGTCTTCTTAAGCATGATCGTGAACTCCCATCAAATGTATGGAGAGGACTATGCAATTGAGATACTATAACTGTGTTAGTCTGGGTAAACTAGGGAAACAAATCCGCAGAAACTCATATGTATAAGAGAGAGTTATATATGACAGGTAAGTGCACATCAAGAAAGCATCCCAATCCAGTGCTGTCCAAGCCCATAAGTACAACATTAACCCATATGTCTGACACCAATCCACAAAGTCCCCCTCAATCTCACAAAACACATGCAATGATTCCTACTGCAGGAGGAAAGCCAAATCAGTGAGCATGTAAGCCTCTCAGCACTGGCAGGGTTCTCCTGGGCAGGATTCTGATTTAGAGGTGTTCAGTCATAATCCCACAGATGGTACCTTTGCCCCATTATGGTACCTTGAGAGTGAGGTACTGGAGAAACAAATCATAAAATGGAGAGTAGATGTTTGTTTGACCTCTCCCTCATGGGAGTTTTTCTTCTTTGTCTAGCCAGAGGCCAGATAAAGCCACACTATTTACTCGGTTGTTTTCTGGGAAAACTATGGGAAGTATGAAAATAGAAAG